AAGGAAGCTTGACCGCCATAGACCTCCACTCAAGGATACAAAATTTCAATTATAGAAGATAAATCACAAGAAAAATGGCGGCAGCCACACAGCTGGAGAGAGCAGGCAAGGGTTGCCCCAGCAATGGAGGAAGCATAGCTTTCCACCTGCCCTGGCCTGCCTAGGCCTCCACTCAAGGCTACAAAGTTTCAATTGTAGAAGGTAAATAAATTCTAGATACCAGGGTCGCTGGGGGTGTGGCAGGTCTGGAAACCACCACAGGTCCCTCACCTTAGCCACCCCACACCCCAAGAGAATCCCCACCCTCATCCGGGACACCCTTCAGGGCAAATCAACTGGCACCTACCCATGCACCAGGCCTCTATCCTATCTAATAAAAGAGTAATATGCAGATTGACCATCACTCCAACACACAATAACTGCCCCATGTGGTCAAAGATCCTGCCCCTATGTGGACACAAGATGGCCACCACAAGATGGCCAGCAGGGCAAGGCAGTTGGAAGAGACTAGGCCTGCAAGGGAGGGCAGTTGGAGGCGATCAACCCTGCAGGGGAGGGCAGTTTGGGGTGACCAGGCCGGCAAGGAGGGAAGTTGGGGGCAAACAGGCTGGCTAGGGAGCAGTTAGACACCAATCAGGCTGGCAGGAGAGTGGTTAAGGGGTGATCAGGCTGGCAGGTAGAAGCGGTTAGGGGCAATCAGGAAGGCAGGCAGGTGAGCAGTTGGGAGCCAGCAGTCCTGGATTGTGAGAGGGATGTCCAACTGCCAGATGGACATTGTTGTTATATGTGTGCTCTGGGGCACCTGCATACTGTTACCTCTGTATGCTGGGGTCAACCCATCCAGCAATATAAAATCACTACTGTCATATTAAAGAAAAGCTGGAAGTTGATCCCTGGAATCTGCTTTTTCCTCTCGTCAGGTGATTCTTTGGGGCCCTATTATTTGAAAAACACAGTAGCAGAGCCATCTCTTGATTCATTACAAAAACCAACATGGAAAGGGATTATCTTCCTCTCTACTTGTATCTCTCAGTTATTAGACTCAGGTGAAATATTAATTTCAGGAGAATACCAGGGCTTACTACCTCCCAGATGGCAGTATCCAGGTAATAGAAACATTTAGAACACCATTTGGAAACTAATATTTTCATAAATGCCAGCCAGTGGGAAGACAGCACTAACAAATCGTTATACATTTTAGGTACATTTTTTACTTCATCATCCAGAAAAGTCGATCAGATTAACACCAACATTTTAAACCTCAACATTAACTTGAAGCATCCAGGAAACCTTTCATTTTACAGATGAGAAGACTGAGAGCCAGAGAGACTGGGACATGATAATACAACACAAGTATCCGCTGTCGGATCCAAGATCCAAGGTCCAGGTTTTGTGATAAAATCCAAGGGCTTTCCCCATTGTATTATCAGTCTTTTTCCCTTCCTTTCCTCCCTACACATCTTTCTTATATCAGAATGACTATTCTTTATGTCTGGTCAAATAAGGAATGACAGGATGTGTTTTTTTCATTTCATATTTTTCTTCAGTGCTCATAATTTACTTCAAAGAATTCTCTTAGTCTTTCTAAGTCATAAGTTGTTCAGAAGAGGAAAAACAAAAAACTAAACCTTGACTGTTCCTCAGAGCACCATAAATAGTTTATAGTTGATCAAAATACATTTTTATCCTAAACACCACTTCAGACTCATTTTCTAACGCAGTATTTCCTTGTCGGTTTCTGTTCTGCAACACTGCAGTTTACCTTCAAGGAAACTGTTTATATCTAACACTAAATCTCTTGAGGTACATCTTCAAGAAACATGTTACAATCATTAGGACCACAAATGAAATCACTGCTGTCATATTAAAGAAAAGATTCCACAGGTGACAAGTAGCTTCAGCAAAAGAAAGTGATGTTTACATCTCAGTCAGATAACTGCTCTGTCCCAATGAGGCAGAATTACCTGACGAATCCAATATCTTTATTTGGATGGCGAGGGATGATGAGAGCTACTTTCTGAAACGCAGAGGAATACATCTAGTGTGATTTTCATCTAACAGAATTCACTTTGCTCTGAGTATTTTATTGCCTACATTCTCAAAAAAATTGCTCCCATATTAGACCATTGGTTTACACTCCACATGCATTAAGTTGATCATTTTAAAGTGGGTATAAGCTTAAAACAGATTCCTCCATTTCCCAGACTTAAATCTTTAAACTTTTTTCTTTAAACCTGGGCTTGGAGTTCTCCTTTAAAAAAAAAACTTACTCAACCTCATTCAAAACTTCTTAGTTGGGTTAGCCACCCTGGCTTTTAAATTTAATGCCCAAACGTTACATGTAATACACTTTAAGAATATTTGTCACCCAGTATTTAATATCAAACATTTCTTGAATAAATAGAATTTCCTATGATTTGTATTGTTTTTATTTGAGAATCTCCAAAGAAAACAGATTGTTTCAAATTATACTTTTTAATATCTAAAATGAAGTTTCTTCCCAAATCCCTAATGGTTTTCATTACCTCATCACATGCTTATAAGTTGTTACTAGAATATGCACCAGACCATATTGTGAACATGTTTGGCACATGGAAGCAATACTGTATAGTGAAACAGTTGAAAAGTAAACTATGAGTCAGACTAATAGTGCTCAAATCTTGTCTGCTCTACTTGGATGACTTCACACAGCTTCTCAAACTTTCTGTACAATCAGTATCACCATTTTAACAGTATTTGCTTAATAGATTGCTGCAAGGATGAAACGATCTAACCTGTAAAGTGCCGAAATCCGTGCTAGGCAGCGTGCACGATATACATATGGTGGCTATTATAATTTTATAAGTAGAACTGTCATTGCATAGTATAATAACTGTTGCATTGTGCTGTTATATTATTATTTTAGTAGGCTCTCAGTAACTAATTATGGGGTAAATGAGTGAATGTGAGAAAACATTCTTTTTGCCGAAATATTTGAACTCCAATTTTTATTACATTGAAATACACAGGACACTTTAACTGAGGAGTATTAGTAAAAACTGGAAATTTCATTTGATTTTTTATCTAAGTCCCTTTCCTACAAGATGGCTGAGGATTCTAAGGGCCTGGTCTGGGCAGAGGGGATCTCTTAGGGTAGGGGTTGGGCGAATAGAGTGCCTCTTAGCAGATCCTGGTCTCAGAGCACAGTATCAAAGATGGAAAGACGAGAAAACCAAGATCCGCAAAAGCAGAGAAGCCACCAAACAGTGGTCCAGAAGCCAAGTAATGGGAGAATCAGAGAGTTGTGAGTAGAAAATATGCCTGGAGTTGTCACTGGGACAATTCCTGGGGCAGGGGAGGTCCTATTTAAGATGCCAAAGACTGGGCCAGTCAGTTGGTGCCTTCCTCACTTCTATTCCTGCTGCACTGCTTACATTGCAACAAAAATAACCTGGACTGCCTTGTATTTTAGGCTAATGCACATATTCCTACCTTATAAAAAAAATAGCACTCTTGCATGACCTCATCATAAAAAAACATAAAAAAACTCAATAGCAAAAGTAAAACAGACATTTAAATTTCTCCTGACATCAACACATATAACAGAGTATAGCAATGTGATCTGGGGAGGGGGTAGAAGGTGTGGGAAGGGGACATCTGCAATATTTCCAACAATAAATATGAATTTTTTTAAAAACCATCAACAGAAACCAAGGACTAGAGGCTATGGCAGACACTGAATCTAATAATTTTTAGGCATCTCAAACATTAGTTGAAGGAAAGAAATAAAAGGAACAGAATAAATGTCAAATCAATAAAGTTGATTTGTATCTGAAATTATGCATCTTTAGAAAATTATCTTAATCTACATAGAATTTTTCCTCAAGGGGGATAGGGAATTCTAGCTTGAGTGTGCCTGCAGATGATGAGTATTCATCTTATGTAACAGAATGCAATTTGCATAATGTGGGGCTAGGTCTGCATGCAGGAACACCTTCAGGGAACTCAGAAAAAGGTTCCAAATTATCAAGAGCATTTTTTCCACCTCCCCACAAAAGGAATCCATAGCTCACCTTTTATTTTCTTTGACAGATTTTCCAGATTTGTTAAAGAAGATTTATCAAATTTCACGGGAGGCCCCAAAGAATGTTTCTGCGTAAGTTCTGTATGCATGTGTGTGCCTGTGTATAATGTTTGCATGTATATTTACACACAGTTTTTTTTTTGATGATGGCATTTAACAACAACAGAACTAGTATTTAGCAACAACAAAAGCGAATAAAAACATTTTTCCTGGAGGCACTATGACTAATCTATTGATTTTTGCTCAGAGGATAGCAGAAAGTTCTTTCATCTAAGTCTCTAATGCTGGAATCTGTGTTGGAAATTCACTCCAACAGCATTATAATGTAGGTATACAGCACATCTGAATGCAAATTATTTGTAAAGAGTAAATATTCCAGAAGAGCTTATATGTCTGGAAAAGTGCTCAACTTTATAAACACAAAACAAGGAGACTTGCTTAGAGTTCAAAGCAATATTCATTTTTATATTAGAAGTATGTTCCTAGTAAAATGCTTACACATTTTGAATTCTTATTTTTCAAAGAACTAGTCCCTTTAAATGTTTCTCTCTTCTGTTCAGAATTCACATTAATTCTGTTTCTTTTCATAAAATAATCTTTTACAAGAGGTTCTCAAAGACAAGTACACTTCTAAATAGAAATAAAAATGTCACATTAACATCAACTCTTTCAAAATTGCTCAATTTTCTATAAACTGGGTCACTTTTTAAAATATGCAAATACACAATTTTACAAGGTAATAATGTCCCTCTTCTGCTTTATATGCTGTTATTAACAAACACTGATAAATAATGAATAAACAGCTCCCACAACACTGTAGCAAAGATAAAAAAACAGAAGTAATAGACAGGACTTTCTCATTTTGTTATTGCTGCTATTGCTATTGCTATTTTGCAAACATTGAAAGAAGGACCAATGACTATGGCATGCTACTTACTGATGGATAGAGATAACCTTCTCCATTCATGGCTATGTACAACCCTGTCTTCACTCCCTGGATGGCAACAACGCGCAGTCCCACTGGTATGAGGTTGAACAGTGCTGGAAAGATAAACAGGGTCTGTCACAAATGGGCAGAGAGCAGCAAAGCACTGCCATCACCTATCTCTCGTTTATTTTATTTAAGAAACATCACCTTTGTTACACCTCCTGAGAAGTTCCGATTAACTAACTTTTATTTCTCTTTATAAAGTAAGAAGGGTCTGCTATGGATAGAATTAGCCCTTGAACTTTAGTGTGTAGATCTTAGCAGTCTGTCTATAGCATTTTAGAGCTGGTGGGAAAATGAGCAGAATCAAGCCTGTAATTCTGCTTCCAGTATCTCAGTCTCTGACACAACTCGATACCAAAGTAATCAGCTGTAAAGATTCTCAAAGAGGAGAATTTAAAAAGTCCAAGTTGACTGTTTATCCTGGCCTTTCCTGCAGAAGGTGTGCTTAATCACTGCAATGTGGCACAGCCCAGAGTTAAAAAGGCAATTCCAAAACTCAGTTACTGCTGCTGAACCAACATGACAATCCAGCAGAGCCCACAAAAGATGTGCATCTGATAATGTGCTAAATCTAGAAAGAACTAATCAAACTGAATGCAATGCAATGCAAAATTTAGATAGAAATACTCTTTATTAATAGTTCATAAAACTGTTAATGAAAACTAAAATAAAGAGGAAAAGTTCTCAATTTTACCCACCTTAGAGAGAAAAAAAAAATCCTTTGTTACCATGTTTTTGTTTCTCCCCTTATTGACAAAGAAATGTTTTTATATGGGTGTGTGTGTGTTTTTTTTTTGTTTTGTTTTTTTACAGAGTATAGATAGCAATGTTATATTGGTTTTATAAAGAGTATTAACATCTCTTTAACACATTTCCATGTCAGAGTCACATATTGACTAAGTAGTGGGTTTTCTGGCACCATGGTTAGTAATCATTTGATGATTTTGGAGACTTTATTATAGATACATTTATAAGAGAACTATTAATTATCCACAGTGAATTTGTCTGCTCCCATCAAGTTCTTTTTAATTTACATCTAATCCTAACCAATAGAACCAGGCCAGAATAGTCAATACATAATTAAAATGTTGAAGTAAATATATAAATAAAATATTTTCACTTTTTGTTTAACTGTATTACATAAAAGATAAACAATTTTTTAAATGAGGGAAATTTTGACTTCAATCTATGGGTCTATTCAATATATAGATTTGTATTGTGCTCTATTTAATTTGGAGTCATATTTTTTAATAGGCTAGACAAAATTACACCTTCTCTTCCAGGTATAACATCCCATCCCAGTATCCGAAGATGTCTGTGCTACACAACTGTTAAAAGACAGGCGATGGCTGTAGGTAATTTTCTCTAGAAGAATACTCAGGGGCATATATGATTAGGTAGATCATTAGCTTTCATGATGCAAACTAACATTGGGCTGTTCAAACTGAGGAATGAGATTTATATTTGCTTTTTTCTACTAATTAATATTAAACATGAGTGTGGAGTTGGTGAGTACTTCGAGGTACTTGTGTCATTGTAACTCTTAGTATTCATTGTTTGTAGAAGACCATTGGCCATTTTCACTCTTGTCTAGAACATCTGAACTGTTCCATCTTCCTCATAATTTGAAAGGATGGGCACCAGGATAATTCCTGACTTATGTGCAAAACATTTTTTTAGGGAAAACACACTGACCATGCAGACTAGTCTAACCTAATATATATTTAAATTTAATTACTCTAAATTTCATATCCTTAAAGGTATTTATAAGTTCCATATATTTGGCATAGACAAGCTGGCATAATTCATTCATGAGCTCACTAAAATAAAGGAGTGTGGGAAAAATAAAAATTATAAAGGAAAGTCTAAAATGACCATACTAAAATTAACACACTGGGTTTTTCTCCCAGGATTTTGTTCTGGACCTGAATTATAAATACAAGTTATTATAATTTATGAAATGATAATAAAAAGTGAATCCAATAATCAATGTCATGTGGAAGACCGTCCAGAGCTGACCATGCTGGATGCATGGTGTTAATTAAAGCCACGGGGCCCCACATTAATTGAGACATTACACTTTTTAATTATTTCTGTATTATACATAATTATAAAGCAATGCCACAAAGTTTCGGGGAGTAAAAATAATGAAGAAGTTCATGCTATTTTGTTTACTCTGTAGAATACTCTAGGTCTCCAAAGAGTAGTGATTTTCAATGCTGGCTGTTCTTTAAAGCTAGGACAGCCATGTCCAATCCCAGATAAAATCAGAATCTTAGGAAGCTGGTATAGGGCATAATATACATTTATGTTGAAAGTTCCTTGAGAGACCCTAAGCTATAGCCAAGATGAGGAGCGCCCTCCTAAGGCTTGTGGGGTGGTGGTAACTGTGAGGCGTCAACCATTTTTACATATCAAGGTATTATGTTGAGAATTTGTAAGGTGAGAAGGGTTGGTTTGGGTGAAGTTTTAACATTGCTATGGTTACTAGCCTATTGCTACTTCTGTAGTCCTACTCTGCCTGCAGTATCTTTTAGCTCTGGTAACTGGAACAATGGAGTTTGGCAGCATAAAAAACTGCATGGCATCCCCAAAAATCAAAATAAAGAAAAGAAAACCACTCCCTAATCAAATACCATAGTTCATGGTACTACTACCTGCCATAGTTCATAGTTCATGAAAGGCAGAAGGGAAGTGCTAAGAATTTTAAGGAAGTATCCCCTGAAAATGAGTGTGATCATGAAGCAACCGGGTGTTCCCTTCATCTTGTGAAAGATCCTTCGAGGGCATAAAGAAGTCAGTGATAAGCAGTCAAGTTGCACCATCCTCTCTATTCTTAATCTTTTTTTTTTTTTTCCACTTTTTTCTCCCAGAGATTCCTGGATCTCAGGCTGGAAACCCTAGGACGACGCGTGTCAGCTTCACCTACCTGCTGGCCCTTTTCCTCTTCTTAATTTATCTAAAAATTATGACAAAAGCAGCTTAGCAGGGTGGTTCTGACTTTGTCTAGTTCTAAATAATTTCACACTTAAAAGCAGGATATGTGTTGAACTCAAATCAGGAAGATCTGAAGGTTTAAGCCTCAAGCTTGTGCTGTTAGTAAATCTGGGTGGCATCAGGGACACTCGTAGGTGATTTCTCCTTATTTTTCCCTACTTATGGATGACTAAACCTTGTTTGCTGTTCAGAGAATCATCGTAAAGCTGAAACATGTTGGTCAAAAAATATATCACACCCTTCCTCCAACCAAAAGGACAATGTTCTCATCAGGAGCTGTCTCTAATGCTCGCTCTCAATTAAAGAATACCTTTCCAGCCAAAACCGGTTTGGCTCAGTGGTAGAGCGTCGGTCTCAAAGGTCCCAGGTTCAATTCTGGTCAAGGGCATGTACATTGGTTGCGGGCACATCCCCGGTAGGGGGTGTGCAAGAGGCAGCTGGTAGATGTTTCTCTCTCATCAACGTTTCTAGCTCTCTCTATCTCTCCCTTCCTCTCTGTAAAAAATCAATAAAATATATATTTTTTAAAAAGAATACCTTTCTGGGCTAACAATTTTCTTAAGATTCATAAGACTACTGCAATGAACCCGAGAAAAGAAAATATCTTAAAAAATTCATCATTAACAAAACTGTATACTTTAGTTCAAAAGGTGACAGTACACAAAAGCGGAGTTAATTAGTAATTCCTATTGCTTTTGTAAAGCTGCTATAATTCTGCCAAGTTTTGTTAAATTTCATAGTTATACAATTTTTACAGCCTTTTGAGGAGAGAACCTGTCTCACCCTGCTTTCTACTGTTCTGCTATAGCTCTGCAAGTGTTGAAATGGTAACAAATTGGCTTACAGTGTATAAAAAAATGCAATGAAAGTTGTAAGAAAGGAAGCTGCAGACCAGACCTTTGCATAAGAATTTAACTCCCTTGAGAGTGGGCAAGGTAATTTAGTTCTGATTTGCTTTTACACAGGTGCTCCTGTCCCTGCTTCATGCCCCAAACTGTTCATCTGCAGCATTTAGGGGAGTAAGAGGTGATCTCAAGAGTTACCAGGAGATTCTGTTCCTTCTAATGCAGTCGTACAATGGGAGGGAAGAAGCCCATACACTTAGAACAGGAAGACATGTATCTGTTAGTATGTGAGCTTTGCAGTTTAGTGTGTGATATTATTCAGATAACTAGACAAATTATGTGTGGATGTATAGAATGTCTACATCTGCACTTTACAATTTAGAAAAGATGGTGCTACTTCTTCAATTCTGAAGGATTATTCTTTTAAACGAAGTCTACTTGAAAGTTCTGAATCTGATATTGATTCTCATCATTAAAAGGAACCAATTCATTTGGCATTATAAAAAACAAAGAAGAAGGTAGGAAAAAAATCATAAAACATTCATTTGAAAGAAATTAATTTTCTAAGCATTCCAATTATGTAGCATCTTCATACAGCTGTATTTTATTTCCTTTTTAAAAAAAAACAAAAACAAAACTTTTGTCATAATAGATGACAACAGCCTTTAGTCTAATAAATCAGAGAGTCAGCTCTTGCAGTGATGAGATTTAGGAAAACTGGTTCCCTTGCTCTACTAGACTCTGGTCAAAGGAAATCAGAGAACATTGAAGACATCAGAACGTATTAATATCAAAAGTTCATGACCCCCATAACTGTGAGATGAAAAAAAAAAAGAGGAACACCTTTTTTGAAATAATTGGCAAGGTGTTAAAGATTTAAAAAAAGAAAAGAAAACAGGTATATGTGTGAATTTGAACAAGAAGAAATTGGCATCTTTTACAGAACAAAGATAGTCAAGTACCAATAATTTTAAAACATTTGACCAAATTATCAAAATGCCAAGTAAACAATGACACTGATCTTTTAATAAAAATGCCTCTTCTTTCTTCTGTCTGAATTAATTTACCTTCTCTTTTCTTAAATCAAAAAAGAAAATAAAGCAAAAATAAACCAATGAGCAAATATTACAGGGAAAAGTTAAAAATATAAAGGATAATCTAATAGATACATAAAGGGAAAACTATTAGAAATTGAAAAAGAATAAAGTATAGATAAGCCAAAAAGAATTCGAAAGTTAAAAGAAAAATGAAGCAATATCCAAGTTTAAAAAAATAAACACAGTGGCTTTAAAAATTTGATATTTCACATAGTAATGTTAATTGCAAAAATATTCTATTTCATATTATTAGATGCTCTCAAAATCGGTATTAGTGAAACTTTGATTACTAGAACTTAAAATAAAAAATGCCTAAATTGGCTTATATGCATTCAAATCCGTCCTTCTTGGCATTGGAATGAAGTTCTATAAAGAATAAATGAGACTTGGCCAGAAATCTCAGTTGGTTGGAGTGTTGGCCTCTGCACTGAAAGATTCAGGTCAAGGCCATGTACCTGGATTGCAGGTCCAATCCCTGGCCAAGATCTGAGCGAATGTGGGAGGCAACTAATCAATGTCTGTCTCACATTGATGTTTCCCTTTCTCTCCCCACCCCTTCTCTTCTACTATCTCTAAAAAAAGAAAAAATTAAAAAATTAAAAAAATCAATGGGAAAAATATCCTTGGGTGAGCAATAATAGCGATTAAAAAAGAATAAATGATAAACGGATGAAAAACTTCAGATCTATTCCTGACCCACTAGTAATATATGGTTAAATGTTTTTAATAAAGTCAGGTATTGCTTTTCACTAATTTTCCTGAGTAGTATAAAGTGTGTCTATTTTAGAACTGATGTGATAAATTGAAAGGAATCAGATGCCCATGTAAATAGAAAATAGGAAAGAAAAACACATAAAAATTGAATAAGGAGAGACACCAGAATACAAAGAAATCTTATATATAAAAAAATAGCAAAATGAAGACAGGCATTAATATGATAGGAAGTGTGTGGATTTTTTTACTAAAAATCTCACAGACCCAATTCTATATCATAGTCAAACATTGTATACAGTGTATTTAGAGGCAGACAGCCTTCAAGTCCTCTCAAATAGAGAGATCCTTTCTTATTAGATGCAAATGTTTAAAGAATTAAATTTTTATGCTTAAACCAAATTGTAGCCCTAGGGTTTCCAGAATTATCATTAATAAGCTACAGTCCTGATAAAAATAACACTTCCAAAGTAAATATGTAATCATCTTCTATTTGAAAGCTCCAGTGTACTTATTTGACTTTTATGGAAATGAGGGTAAAAGTAATAATAATATGTGAGTTATGACAATTGTTTGAAAAATGCTTAAGATATCAACAGGATTGTCTTAACATAGCAGGTTTCTTTCATTGCTCTATTAATATTTTTATCCGTGTGGTCTAAGTAAAACTGTAAATGTTATTCTAGTTGCAATAGTGTAAGAATGAGCCAATATATCCAAATAATTGCAAATGTATTTTTTAAAAAGTCGTTTAAGTAGCAGTAGCAGCTTAAAAGTTGGTGTCTTCTACCAACTGTGTTAACAACTGGTGGTCTGAGGATGTCACTTACTAGAATTAGTGCTGTCATCCTTGGTTCCATCGAGAGCTCCATCGGGGTGCATTTGCAAGTAGTAGCCTTGCCTGCAATATAACCTGGTCACTATACCCTTGAGCTGGGGATCTGAAAGGCAAACACAGTTAACATAAGCTTCACAATGTATCACAATAGAATTTCTTTTTCTGTTTTTCTCTCTCTCTCTCTTTCTCTTTGTTTCTTTCTCTCTCTCTCTCTCTTTCTTTCTTTCTTTCTTTCTTTCTTTCTTTCTTTCTTTCTTTCTTTCTTTCTTTCTTTCTTTCTTTCTTTTCTTTCTTTCTTTCTTAAAACCAAGAGGGCATTTTATATTTTGTGTCCCCCAGGTTTTTTTGTATTTGTGAAACCGGAAGTATACTATTAGTTTAGCTCTTAGTTGAGTCCTAAAATTATTAATAGTTCAAGCTAATATCATTCAGAATGTCAATACAAGAGTTTTATAAAGTTCAGATTCAAACAAATGATATTAAAGCCCTATAAATGGAATTTAAAACTTAATTTAATAAATAACCCCAAAGTGTGAAAAACCTGTATTTTTTTTTAAATCATACTGGCCCTGGCTGGATAGTTCAGTTGGTTAGAGCATCTTAACCATACATCAAGGTTTCCTGTTCAATCCCTGGTCAAGACACACAAGAGTCAACCAGAGGATACAAAAATTAGAAGAACAACAAATATCGCGCGATGGAAGGAGCCCTCGCAGGACGACGATGCGCCAGCTCTACCCTCTTCACGCATCATCTTCCTTCTCTCCTCCCCTCCTCCTCCTGTTTCTTTTCCTCCTCCCCTCCTCCTTTTCCTCTCTCCTCCTCATCCCTTCTCTCTCCTTCTCCTCCTCCTCCTCCTCCTCCTCCTCCTCCTCCTCCTCCTCCTCCTCCCTTACTCCCTCTCAAATCAACAAGTAATTAAAAATTAAAACAACAACAAAAATCAAACAAACATTTTTATGAACATTTTTAGAAAAAGCCCCAATATGGGGAATGTTGCCTGGATGTCTAAAGGGTCACTCTAACTTGAATGGAGGGATCTTTGGTTCTTAAGCGTGATCCAGAGAAAAATGAGAAAGCTGGCTTCTGAACTCAGGATGAGGCCAAATAACAAGCCTATGCTGTGAGGTCAGCTCTGGCCACAATCTAGACAAATCAGACAAATTTAATAGATAATCCTCATTTATTGAGAAGAAGAGTAAAATTATCAATAGGCATATGGTTCCTGGCCAAAAGGAAGTTTATGGAACTTATGTAGGAACACACTTCTCATTTAATGATTCAGTGAAAACAGGACCACTCTAGTGATCCAGTGCTTCACAAAGAGCCAGTTGTATCTTTGAAAATAAATATTGCCTTTGACTTTTCAAAAAACATGCCCATATCAGAACTAGAGTTGATGTGGTATATCACAATCCTCACCATCTCCACAATTGGTGAAAGAGACATGCAAATCTGCTCATGCTATAAAAACAATAGATGCCACAGAACAATGAAACCCAGCATCTTGTAATCAATAGAAAAATTGTGGTCACCACTCAAGTCTCCTCTCACTGGGGTGGTGAACACACAGGTGATATAAAATAGTGCACCTGAAACCTATGTAATTTTATTAACCAATGTCATCCCACTAAATTCAATAAAAATAAAAAATATTCCTTGCTATATTATAGGGTGTTTTTTTTAAAAATGTGCATTTGTAAAAAGGTGAACACGTCACACACATGCAAAAACAAAAACCGAAAAAGATGTTCAAAAGTAGAATAGTCTTAGCCTTTTGTTTAGTCCTCAAGAAGTTAAAAATGCCAATATCTGTTTAAATGTACATCTGATAATATTAATAACTTGAAAAATTACTCCACAATACACAGATTTTCTTCAGTTAGCATAACATTATAGAAAACCTGCAACATAATGTATGAACACCACAGCACCATAAGCACCATATCAGCGTGATTAAATGTATCCTATCTAATAAAGAGGGGATATGCAAATGGACTGGCATGCCATCACAAAGATGGTGATGCCCCCAGCCACAAGATGAAGGCACCCAGTCCTCTTAGCTCCACTGGAATCCCCCAGTCCTTTCAGCCTCATGGGGTGGAAGGCGCACAGTGTGGCTGGACCCACCTCAGCCCCTCAGCCACCCAGGGCTGGCCTGAGACACAGGCAAGTCTCTGATGGCAGCTGCCCAGCTGTCCAGGGCTGCCCGAGGCTCAGGTAACCAGGGCTGGCAAAGGCTTGCAGTGTTGGCAGTGGCAGCAGCAGAGTGTGATAAGGACACTGCCTTCCCCTGATTGCCTGGTCACCTCCCGCCCCTGAGGGCTCTTGGACTGTGAGAGGGGGCAGGTTAGGCTCAGGGACTGCCCCCCACCCCCACTCCAGTGCATGAATTTTCATGCACCAGGCCTCTAGTTAGAATATAAATGTTTTCAGAAGGCTAGGATTTAAAAAAGAAACGTCTAAGTGATTCTTAGATCATGTTATGCATGTGCCTTATTCTGTAATATATTAACTTTAAAAAATCACATCACTCTAAGATATGCATTAGTGGAAAAAATTGTTCTTGCACCTTAGTCTGCCCATCACTCAGTAAGACTTGACTGGGCAATCAGCCCTCTAAGTATTTAGGACTTCTTTTCTTAGGTTTGCTGCATCAGATTTTTGCTCATCACTGAGAACACGGGCATAGAAAAGAATAGAACAAAAGTAAAAAGGCAGGGGAGGGGAGGCAAATTCTTAATTGCTACAAAAACAGAGAATTTTAGAGATTGGCAATTTTTCTGTAAATTGTTTATGTTCTGAATCACTTATTTTAAATAATGACGTGTTTTAGCTACTATATCTTCTGAACTTGAATTAACTAGGTCAGCATAGGCAGTGCGCAGGCACAAGCTCCCTCACACTTGCAAGAAGAGAGCCCTACTTTTATGATTTTTCTATTATCAGAACAAAAAGAGATAACAAGTATTGATGGGAATGTAGAGAAAAGAGAACCTGCATGCACTGCTGGTGGAAATGTAAATTGGTGCAGCCACTGGGGAAAAAAGGTTCTTCAAAAAAATTAAAAATTGAACTACAGTACTATATGATTTAGCAATTCCACTTCTGAAGGAAAGGAAATGAGGATCTCAAAGAGATATTTACATCCCCATCTCATGGACTGCATCACTATTCACAATGTGCAAGATATGGAAACAAGATGTGACCATCAACAAATAAATAAAGAACATGTAAATATTACAATGAAATATGAGGTTAAAAGGAAAATTAATTTAACTTCTCTTTTCTTAAATTAAAATTAATTTACCTATATTATTGCACTTTAAAAAGAAGGAAATCATGCCATTTGTGACAATATGGATGAACCTGGAGGACATGATGCTAAGAGATCCCGGCTTTACCTCATTTTATTTCTTATAAGGAAGTGTAAGTAAAACATGGAATTGTGGTTTTTGAATTCTCAATTAACTCCAAGGAAACAAAATCAAATTGATTTCTATTTATCTAGTTTCATATTACTTGATATATATATTAGAAACATAAAAACATTCTTCTCAGGTGCCAGGCACTGTTCTAAGCATGTCACAAGACTAACTCATTGCATCCTCACCACAGGTTATTGAATAGGAAGCCCTTTGTGATCATGAGGAAGTGGAGACACAGGGCTAGTAAGTAACTTGTCGAAGAGCTCAGAACTAACAAGTGCACAGCTGGGGTTTAGCATGTTCCTGCCCACTTCACTATAATCTATGTGGCTTCGATAAATTGAAGAATCAAAATAAACCACCTAAGAATCCTAAAATAAAACGGAAACCAATCTGGTTTGTTTTCTGAAGCTAGGTGTTTAAAGATCAACCACATTTGTATCTAATCCCAAATCCTGCATATCTACAGCCAAATCTGTGATATAAAGCAGTAACATGAGGTGAGAAAGAATCAAAGTTCTTAAAAATCGATTCTACAATCCATCCCACTTTGCCACTGGCTGCATTTCCAATAAATCTCTCTACACATGCAATTTAATACTGTAAATTTAAACCTCCTCTAGTATCATATCCACCAACTCCATCCAAAAGGTACTTCTACCCCTGACATGACTACTTATATTAACAGTATCTGCCCCCTAAAGATCAACTCCTTGCTCGACTTTAAAAATAGATATTTTTATTGATTTCAGAGAGGAAAGGAGAGGGAGGGAGAGAAAAACAACAATGATGAGAGAGAATCATTAATTGGCAGCCTCCTTCATGCATGACCTCTTGGTTCATAGGTCCAAGCTCAACCACCAAGCCACATTGGCTGGGCAATGCTTGCTTTATATTTTTCCCCCCTAATGAGCTACCTACTACCTGCAGATACTGTCTTCCCAAGCTTCTTCATTTTTTTTTTCCATTTTCACAGCAGCAGCTAAACCCCTCAGGGTCTCTCCTCTCCTAGGTGGTCTTCCTAGTTGTACTGTGCCTGTTCCAATCCATCAGATCCTGAAAGACTTAGCAACTCTTTGCTGCTGGCTCAATTACTCAAACACCCTGCAGCATGGGGCCCCATCCTGTCTGTCTGGCCTTGTTTTCTCCTGCTCCCACGCAGCGCCCTGTGTGTAGCCCAACCTGGGTCACTGTGGACTGCCTGCAAACATCCCGTTATCTCCCACATGCATCCTGTTCCTTCAGCCTCACCTGTCTCAAATACGCCCACCTGCACGAAGCTGCCCCTTGAACATCTGTGTGCATACACCCACACACATCCTTGCATAGTGAACTCCTTTTCCTCCTTGCCAAGATCGGCTCCATCAGCACTTCCTCCAGGGCACTCTCCTCACACCTCAGACAATGCCAGATTCCTCCTTGAATGCTTTTATGGCAGCAGCATTTTTTTCATAAGGGTAACTTATTTTTTAAGCATCAAAATTATTTTTCTTTTATGTGAGCAAAAAAAAAATTTTTTGGTATGACAGAAAAACATTCAAAGTTATTTGAAAAGGCAGGGCAAACACTGGATGTTCAGTATGATCCACATTTTTAAACAAATATATTGTGTAACCCAAGTTTCCTACTCCCCTTATCTCTTTTATTTTATTTTATTTTAAAATTAAATTAAAAT